TTAAAGTTGAGAAAAAGCTAGAGTTGTAATGGATTGAAAGGCGCACGTCAACATTTCTCCGAAACAAAAAGTTCTTTGTAGTGGAAATCGTTGATTTTCTTCTTTTTTTGCGGCGAATTCAATCAGAGTAAGTTCGGAAGGAGGAAAGACAGAATTTCGGAATCGGCGATAGATAATTAATGATGGGTAGATAAAACATTTACGATATGTTTCTTTGTGATTTATTTGATAGGTTTATTGGTTAACTCAGTAAGTGGTCAATGTCTCTTCATAATGGCCCAATGTGGGACAAAAAAATATATCGCTTTCTAAATATTGCTTCTATAATAATTACGGATGGTAATTAACCTAATAAATGATGCTGTTTAACATTTTTTTTGTTTTTACGGTTCTTTTTGAACTATATCTATATTTGATATCAGTTATCTATTGTTTATAGGATTTTTTGTAATTTCAACGATTGTGGTTAAGGTGAAATGCATTTGTATTCAATTACAAATCCTTTATTTTTTTTTTCATACAAATCGCTGTCTAACATTTCTTTTCGCAGTTTAATCCGCGTTAAAACTCTTTAAGGAATACAAATAGCTAGTAGTGATCAAAAACTACAACTTGCTTGTTTGACACGCATTTTTAAACTCAAACGAAATAGTGACACACAAGATCCAGAACTATATCCATGGAAATCATCAAATAATTACGTCTATTTACGTTTATGCGAGATGAAATCAGAGACATTCTATAACGTCGGTCATCAAGCGAATTTATAGACAAAAATTTATCGCCACCTTCATCAACGTGAATTAACTATAATTTAAAAAATACACGCTCAACAATCTGGTTCAGAAGGCACGGACAGACAAATTTCCTTTTATATTGTAAGTACTAATAAGCCACTTGGTTAGCGTGTAATAGGTTTCAAAAATTAAAAGTACACAAAACACACACAGTTTGATGTTTTGTCAGCAGCTACGTATATGTGAAAAGGTTTAATAATTTCGTACGAGGCACACTATAACCCGCGGTAAAACTATTGAATTCTGAATGGAAAACATCACGTTAAGTATTCATGAAAGTCCCTAGCCCTATTTTGCGGGCTTCTATCATTTTTGTGATATCTACAGTAACATGTTAGTAAAATGTAAGAGACAATATAAAAAAGACAACATTCAAGAGGCACATATATAAAACACTGCGTATTAAGAATATAAGTATAATTCCTTATGGAAAATTTTATACTCTTCTAGCCTTTTCAGATGAATTCGTTGGAATTACAAAATGAGTAGTATCATGTGTATGGATTCAAAATCATCAAAACACGAGTAATATTTTGCCGGCTGCTGACAGCCTAATATTGAAAAATGAATGTTTTTGACATTGGATTTGACATTTTTGGCATGGAAACAAAAAAATTTTGTATTTCAAACACTTGATTAAATGAAACTGTAATATTTTACAGATCTTTTCGCGTTTTTATTTTATAATCTGCACGCAGAGCCTCATTTCATTCATTTACTTATTTCAGATGCCTCTGATGCCAGCCCTGACCGAAATACCCCTTAGTTGAGGCAGTCAAAGTTTCCATCGAGATCATATTGATTTATTTATTTATTTTATTTCATTCAGAAACTTCACAGCATACAATAATCACGTTACAAAATATAATACACAAAAATATTTAGCTATTTTAAAAGTATTAAAATCTGTAGAAAATGTACGAAAAGATTGCCGCCGCTGTGGGAATCGAACCCCCGTCTTCGGCTTCGCGGCCTGACGCTTTAGCCACTAAGCTAAACGGCTGATTGCCACACCGACAAAAATCTTAACGCCGCGACAATGTTTTAGTACTTTTTCTACAGATTTTAATATTTAATCTTAAGTGCAGAGATTAGCACTACAAATAATTTAAATTTCTATTTTAAAAGTTACAACAATTTACATTTTTTTATGTTATGGTACAATGGGAAGAATAACTTAAATACAAAAGTAAAAAGGAAAATGCTTATGTTTGAAATTGTGTACGAGTAAGAAAAAATACGACATTGTAAACAAACATAACTGAAACAGCATAGACCTATGCAGTACAGAAGTATTAGCATGTTTTGTTTTTGTCATAGGAACATGAAATAATTTTGTGCCGCGTAGATGACTTGACGGGATGCGAAAGGACAATCCTTGCAGCAATGTAAGGCAGTCTATACGGCCGTATAGCGTATATTTGAATAAGTAAACGAACACACTTTCGCATTTACAATATTAGTTTGGTATGTCTATATGGGGACTTGCTCTGACTTCACTACATAGTATAAAACAAAGTCGCCCCGCTGTCTGTCTGTCCCTAGGCATGTTTAGATCTTTAAAACTACGCAACGAATCTCGATGTATTATTTTTGTGTTGTTGAACATAGGTAATCCCATATCAATGAGGTGGAGAACTAGACGCTATAAATAACACGTTAGGAATCGAACCTGTGAACAACTTTGAATATTCACGATATTCTATGTCTTAGCATGATAACGAAGTTCAGAGAGCAGCCCTTAAAATTCTGAGTACTGAAACATGTTATGATGCTAAAAAAATTGTCGCGATAATAGATTCAAATATATTATGTTACATTATAGGTTTAAATGTTTTATAAAAGACTTAAGGTAAGCTTTCAAAACCTCCATCGTCTTAAAAGCTTATCGTGCTTTATATTAAAAGCTTTTACGTTGGCTTGTGAATTTATGCTCACTACAATCAGAAAAGTTAGTCAAACTAGATACCTGTGTTATGAATGTTAATTTTTAGTAATTTTTATCCGAATATGACTCATAAAAGAACTTCAAAACGAACTAAATATTAATAAGGTACGTGTATCTCATTGATCACATTTCTGTGGTGGGGCCAAGTCACAGTTCGCTGTTGCACGATTGGGTGGGACCATCCGGAGAAGTTCCATGAACTCACAGAAGATTGGCGTGAAGTGGGAGTGTTATACTTCTGCGTTTCGTCTGGTGAGTGAAGAAGCCGGAGCCCACTTTATTAAAAGGTGGCAACGCATATAACCTATTAACTATTTAGAAATATATAGGCAGTGGTTATCACTTAACATCAGGTGAACCGCCAGCTCGCGTGCTATGTTCTCACATAAAAAAAAATAATTTCTCATCTTAGATCTTTATCGAGGGTAATAAATGAATATTTGGTAATTCAAATTATTTTATCTATCTAAATATTATTAATGAGGACGTTATATCACGCCGGCATTGCTAACATAAAACATAACGCATAAAAAATGTACCAAAGCCTCGTCCCTCAGAGTCGCTACACAATTTAACACATAAAATTATGTCGATGAAGCCTAAAGTTCGCCAACTTTACAATTCATTAGGGCAGAGTTCAGTTGAAACAGGGTCTGAAACATATTCCAAATAATGGAGCAAAGGTTCGTTGTAAACACTTTTGGGTTTTATATTTTAAATGTCTCGGTAATTGAGTATAAAACAGTTGATTACAACTTTTATTTTTGTGTAACAGAGAGTTTATATTTTTGTTTTAAAAAAACCTATTCATTTAAAATTTCATATAAGATTTACGGTTTTTACTAGTACCTATGCAACGCATTTGAACTGATATTCAAAAAATTAAAATGTATATTTTTAGAATATTCGATCGACGTAAAAACCAAAATCGAGTGATAAAATCAAAAGACCGTTTTAGTAGATGTTAATTTTGTAAAAACCAAATTACTTTGTATAATTGTATCGTATTTAATTGTATTGTAATGTATTCTGGGCTACTATCTTACCTTGAATTGAGTTTACAATGTTCTTAACCTACAACTTTAATATTTTATAAATGATTTAATTTTTCGCACTCTCTCACTGTTCACTCTTGCCTCGAAGACACTGACTTTGCTCGTATAATCGGACGGGAAAACTGACACTCGGTAACTTTTCCAGTCCTAATCTGTGTTAACATAACGAAAGAGGAGACATACCACATAGTTTGAAGTCGAGGAATATCAAAATAAAAAGATATAGCTGAGCTTCCATTAATTCCATGATAGAAGGAATAATGGTACCTATATTTGCAATTCATGTGCCCACTCCGAAATGTTACCGAGAGGCTAACCACACTTCGCCTATATCTCAGGGTAGCTAGATTTTTTTATCAGAGTTACCAATGAGTCTCCTTGCACACCTTTCCATTGAGTACCATACGATTGAACTTGAGCCTTACATAAGTATAGAAGTAGTCTGTAATATCGCCACACACTTTTGCGTGATATTAAGCATTCTTGCTGCCGACTTTGAGCTATGATCTAATCTATATCATAATGAAACATCCAAAGTCGAAACGGAGTATTCTAAAGATAATTCTGAAAAGTAGGAGCCAAAATGGTTTGGTGGTATTAAGCCTCCAAAGATTCGCATAACCCTAATTAGAGATGACGCCTATAACTGAGGCTCACACGCTCTACTACAGCAATTCTTCCAGACCGTATAAAATTTCTACTGATTACACCGGTGATAGCATATAGTAGAAAAATGTACCGTCATGTCACAGTCGTTAAGTTGCAGCAAGGTTTTAGAGGAAAGCATCGCTCCCTGAGGGACCCGCTATAGTTGCCAGTTGGCTTAAGATCATCACACTATTCATGACATACATCATATTTGTAAATTACAATTCAAAAACATCTGGCTCGTATATTACATAACAATAAATTTTCTTTTATTTGAAAAACATGGCATAATCTGTTTCGCTAGAACGAAATTAATTACACTATCATGAATAATGCATGTTTCTATTACATTGGTTTGATGATGCACGTTTTCAATTACCTAAAGTACGTTAATTAATTTCCAATTTATCGATTTAATCGACGATGGCAATTAATAACTTCTACGACCAAAAGTGCCTGTTTCGTATTCGCTATGAAAAATACGATCCTATTACTGGAACACTACGAAAAGTTGTAAAGAATCACTTTGATAACTAAATCTAAAAATTGAGTATGTTCAAGTTTCTATTGTTTGCCGGTAAGTCGTTTTCGTTCATTTATATAGATTACTCCTATATACATTATTAATACAGTTAAAAGTTAGGAAAATTCTTACATGAAAGGATTGTAATCCTCATTATATACATGTAGCAATCCGTAATTATTTTTCCCGAGCTGGGTGCCCAAGAAGAGTCCACTTCAGGCAGGCGGTGATTGTAAATAGCACAGCTTAAACCACTTACAACATGATTCACATGTTATGCCTACTCCACCTAGGTGGAAACAGGGCTAGAGGATGATGATGATATAAAATATATAAGTACATATATCTATATACCTACAGGAAAATATGAAGTATTGATAATTGTAAAAGTTTCATCCTGTTATATATTTTTCTTTCTATGCACTCTTAAACGATTTAAATAAAGAAATAATTAATATATTTTACACGTAATTTTTAAATTTAAGTTTCTAACGTAAATGTGAGTTACAAATTATGCAGGTTCGATCTCTGGGAGAGCCAAAAAATTTTCAACAATTATTAATCTATGAAAACACTTAATATAATAAAAAAAATCAAACATTTTCCGAGTGTTGCCAGCAGAAAATTTAGCATAAAAATGTTTTATTTTACAGGTATCGCAATCAGTTTCATTTTAATCAATAGAATCGAATCTAAAATGACTACAACAAAAAGTTTTTTCAGTCAAATTGGCTTGCGTGAAACGATTTTAGGACGGTAAGCATTAATGAAATATACCACGAATGTCAACGATCTACACTCCTGCCTGTCACACAAGTTCGAGACTACTTATTTATACATTGTTATTAAAGTATACCCTAACATTTCATAAATATGATTAAAACAGTTCATGAAAACTCGGCATAAAGCTTAATTATGTGTTCGATGGGCACATGTTGATTCCGATCGGTAAACCTAGCTATTTGTTTATTTATTTGAGTTACATTAGGAAATTACAATTTCAATAAATTTATACTTAAATGAAGTAAGTAGTGCACAGCACAATTAGAAATACTATCCTAAGTCGTGCAATAAAAATTCCATAAACATATCGATTAAAAACAGATATAGTCAAAATTAAATTCTGACATAAGAACCACAAACGCCGTGTATTTCCAAAGGTGGGGAATTAAAAAATCATCAAGTATGTTTATTTGAGCAACGGTATAAAATTACATAGATTTTGTCAACTTAAACTTTTTGAAAATGCCCTGACTGGTTCTGTATAAATCGATACGCTAACGGTCGCCCGAACAAAACTTTATATCGTCGGACATCTTAAATTAAATTTGGTACGCAATACAACAGAAAAAAACTAGTTATTTTCAACATAAGTTTGGTATAACCAAATTTGAAAGAAATAATAGTGCTATTTCACCTAGGTTTTTTCCTTCTACAAGCCACCCGTTAAACAGAAACTGCAAGTGCTCCAACGTCTATAAGCCCGTGTGTGGATCAAACAACAAGTCATACTACAACGCATGTTACTTAACATGCGATAAACAGAATAGTACAGTTGTGGTCGAGCACTCGGGAAAATGTTTAATGTTTTAATTTTACTTTAATAAATTTAGCTATCGTGATCTTGTTTTTTCATTGAACCATTATCATCATCATCATCAGCGAAGTCAGTTTGAGTCCACTGCTGAACATAAGGCCACAGACCACGACGCGAAGTACGATCCAGAGCCACCTAAATCCATCTACAACACAACCAAACACAAGTTGTCACTCCAACTAGTGGGGGTCGATATACGATAGCCAATACGAGGCTGGCACTCGAGAACCTTTCTTCCCTATCGGTTATCGGTTCTTCGGACTACCTGGCCGGTCCATCGCCACTTCAACTTACTAAGCCTAGAAGCTGTTGTCGGTGACCTTTGTCTTACCTCTACATCAGATGTCTGTATCATCAGATGTACCGCCGGTCAAGGCAACTATGACAAACACCGCCCTTATTGTGGGCCATTATTAATAATGTTAATAAAAGTTTAAAATCATCCTTGACAGCGACTCTTCATTAGGCATCCCATTAGTAAATCCCCTGTAAATTACATTAACTCGATTTACCTTTGAAATATCCAAAATAAATGTATAGAAAAGCATCGACACTGTCTGAGACAAATTCATATAATATTTAAAGCTGGGTTCTTTCATTGACATACCTTGAAACATGTCATATTTATTAAGTACGTTTTGTTGCTTATTTTAATCGCTTTCACAACAATTCTAAATGTAAGAAAGAAGGGAACAAACACAATCAAAATCTTTCCAAAAGAAATAATCGATTATTAACATCTGTAAAAATATGTTTCTCTGAAATCAATAGTGTTATTGTATTCGTAGAATATATTCCAAAGCAGCTGTAATACCTATATTTTACTGATGGTTGTGTATTTTTGAAGTTATACTTATTTTGTTGCGTTAGGGATGATACATTATGAGAGTAAAATACTTACGATGCACTCAAAAAGCTTTTTACACTCAAATTGCTTTGCAACCAAGTTCATCATGTCGATTCGTGAAGTTAGTAGCTTTGCAACCAAGTTGACGGTATCATTAAATTCACGGCGAGCTGGTGGTTAAACTGATGTTAAGTAATGCCCATGGACATCTGCGTCATCCGTAGGGTTGCAGACTCGTTACATACAAAGTGGTGACCCGGTTACCTCACCAGTTGTAACGCAGAAGAGTCAATTCAAGAGGCAGAGTACTGATATAATATACTGGAGCAACCCGAGTTCTCTTTATGTCTAAAGAAAAATTTGTATTAAAATTTGTATTGTTTTGTTGTATTATAAAATTAAATAAGGTTGTCTGGAAGAAATTATTGTATAACCTATACATGTCCCACTGCTGGGCAAAGGCCTCCTCTATACAGAGAGTATCAGGGCACGTATGTCATATAATAAACTCCTAATTTTTGAATGCATTTGACGCCGTGCTAAGAACTAAAAAAATAAAGAACATTGATTAATTAAAACACCGATCATTAATAATATTCTTCATAGTAAAAGGTTGAAGCTGCTCGGGCTCCGTTATACGCGAAGTTTTGAACTTTCCCTAACTAGCCTTATCGATTACTGACGCGGCACCTTAGCAAACTTGGTACTTCATATTTAAAAAGGCTCAATAGACTTCATAACTATTTTTAAAGTCTTACATATGTTATTTGCAATTAAAGTAAGTTAAATCCAAAGAGTTATTCATAAGGCTTAAAATTTTTTCCTAATCAAAATCCGTAGTATTGTAGTTATAAATAATGTTAAAGTGTATTTATGTCATTAAGTTGGATCTAGTAATAGGCTTTTACTGTGGCATAGTAGCTAAATGAATGAAGTATCAAATGGCTAATTAGTAACAGAGTGGATTTCTCAGAAATCATCCCGTCAGTCAAAGTACGCTGTTGCATGAATGGCGGGTCCGTCTGTAGAATTAGCACGGCTTGCGTTACGTCTGGTGAATGAGGTAACTAGGTCCCGCCGGAGGCAACACCAAATATCCATGGATGGCAGTTATCACTTAACATCAGGTGAAGTGCCAGCTCGCTTGCCACTCTCTTACATAAAAAATTAAATATATACAATAGATCTAACTCTTAAAGTCTACATGAGACTAACAATAAACTTAATAGTCTCATGTATACTCTAAGATTACAATTAGGAACCAATATGAACTTAAAATTATTTAAATAAAGTCTGTCATCACGTTGGAGTCACTACTAACTGATTGTCTATCGATAAATACAAATGTACGACTTGTTGTTAACAATGATCAGAAACGTTTGTGTTACAAAAATATTTATATCAGCACATGGAAGCGAAACAGATTGAATTGTTTAATTTTGATGATACAGCTAAAAATAATAAAGAACATAGTTATAAAATACGTAAAAACAAAAAGGTTTTTTACGTATTTATACGTTGGCGCAGTGTAAATATCGAAATGGCTATCCATCATCAACATCAACCACAAGTTAACTGTTGAATAAAGGACTCCCCCTTAGATTGCCACAGCAATCGACACTTCGCCAACTCCGAGCTTAGCTCTCTCCATAGCTCATTGTGTGACTCTGAGCTTATCCAAAAGGCCAGCTTTTGGAGACAACGTCTCAGCACCATGCGTCATCACTGGCAACACACACTGGTCTTCAGGCACTGCGGAATCTTGGACGAAAAGATCTCGTATTTTCCCGAACCCCGCCCATTCAGTTGGACCTGCCTAAGTGGATCATTCGTCCAAGGAAGGCTTAGTGGTCGACAACTTCGAGACTATCGTTCCCAAAAATAACTGGTATGGATGCGTACAAAGACATTTGAAATAATTTTCCTCTTACCCATGTTCATTTTAAGACACACCTGTTGGCAAACGTTACTAAGGTCGCTGAGAATAGTATGAAGGTCCTCCAACGACTCTGTCATGATGATTTGTCGTATCGTCATCAATTCAGCTTGTTTGTGTCCACTTCTAAACATAAGTGTCTCCCACAGATTGCCACGAAGCACGATATTCTTTCATAATTTTCTATTATTTTTTTTAGTGCGGGCCTTAAATTGTTTTCATGCCAAAAGAGCCTACGGTATTTCCTACAAATTCAACTGACTGATTGGATTTAACTAACATTTATATGCATTAAATAAATAGGTTTTAATATGAAAATACAAAAAGTACTAATTTGTATAGTTTTCATGACGTATTTTTTTCCGTTAAAATCTTTGTTTGGTTTTTGATCAGTTCATTAGTCATGGCACTACTTTTTAATATACCTCAGTTTATATATTAAAATAAAAAATAAAAAATAGGGTCATCTAAAAAATAATAATCTATCAAGTATCCTTGCATTACCTACCATCCATCAATGAAATTAAAAGCAAGATAAATAATTATTGAAATATAGGCATAAGAAGTGAAACAAACAAAGTAACAGTGAAATTATTTAAAAAAAAAAAAGAAACAAAGTAACAGTGAAATTCTTTTTTTGTTTCCTTTAACATGAACCAACTTGCGTTCAACAATACGATTGAATTGAGTGCGCGTGTATATCGGTAATCTGAACTATTATTCGTATTAATGTTATGCATAAAGTCATTAGCCTCGATAAGATCATTACGCTAAGCGTCGGGTGTTATAATCGTTTATGGGTTCGATAAGGCACGATACGCGTGTTGCTTTTGAACGACCGTCAGAAGATTATGCTAACCGCGCTGGGAAATGGGTAACGCTAATCTATGATTAGCCTTCCCCATAGCTGGGGGCTACGCATTTTAAGACGTATGTATAAAAAGAATTAAATAAGTCAAGATTCTAAGTCAAGGGCCATATACATTTATCACATTTACCTACACAAAACAATTTGAGGAGCCCATAGAAGAGAGTTAGATAATTATGGCATGACTATAAGTCAAAAGACACATGTCTTTTAACTTACATAAGTTTACCACATTTACCTCCGAAATACAAATTTGTATAAACACAATACATAAAGATGTGACGAGTTAAATTTTACACTTAAATGTAAATAATTAAAGTAATTTAATACTATATGTTGGTATACCGCACGTATCTGTAGTTTTTAATCTGTAGTTGTAACTGTATGTTGGCAATTTCAGCTTGATGTCATAATCATTTGTGCATTAACATTAGCGGCCCACCGCTGAACATAGGCGTCCCCCACATTCTGGGACGAAGCACGAACAATCACAAAACAAATCGTCACTCAATCTAGTAGTTCTACACTGCGATGGTCAGTACGAGACTGCCGTACTCTGCCCTTACTCTCAATAATCTAAAAACGATTTTATGAGTACTGTTATGTTTAAAATACATTTTTTTTTTAAGATAAATGGACAAACTTTTGACTTCCACTTAGCTCGCCCAGTTATTGTTCATTTATCTACAAAAATTCACTTAACAGAAGAGACTTAAAAAGAATACCGAAATTGTATTAGGGCAGCATTCATTTCAAATACTACATCCGAAAGTTCTGTAATAACTTTATGAGATTGGAACTGAAACGCGTGAACTATTTTGCTATGGCGACGTGATCAAACTTGCAAAAGTAGTTTCAGTCTTATCGTTGTAGTTCTAAGTACTTTGATAACAGGTTGTGAGGGAACTTTCCCGTTCGTTAAAATTTACTTGCATGCATTTGATTACTTTCTATAGTTAACCGAATGTCTTCACAGGTTGTTGTAAGGAGATTATAATATACTAGCTGCTGCTCGCGACTACGTCTGCGTAGAATAGGCTGAAGGCGTGTGATTCAGACAGAAAGACAGATATACATAAAATATGTATATAAATTATAGCCTATGTCTTATTGTGATGTAAAAGCTATATTATTGTAAAGTTTCATTAGAATCCATTCAGTAGTATTTGCGTGACAGAGTTACAAATATCCATCCATACATACAAACTTTCGCCCTTATAATGTTAGTAAGGATGTACATCATTCGTAAAGTTTAAGTAATGGCCTACAAGTATCATGATCAGTTAATTTATATACTAAGTATTTTACGTATTTTACGGTGGTAGGGCCACGCAGCAGCCTA